GTTACCAAAACGTGACGTGTAAACTCTGCTGATCACGGATTGGCCGGAGAGGATCGTCACTACCTGCGTCACTGAACTTGTGACACAAACACAACAGAACCGCTAGATTTAAATCAGCACAGCCAGCGAAGGATCGAACGCAACTGTTTTGAACGAGCGCACTTTTTTTTAACAACCAAAAAGTTTTGTTGTCTGTTGCGGAAGAACAGACGTTCCTCTCGTTGATAGCAGAGGAGCGGATCCAGCGAGAGCTTGATGGGGCGACGCGGAACGAAAAAGTTTTTCAGGAGTCGCAGCAATAGAGGCGGCGCAACTATAACGACATGTGAATAATCCCGCCCACTCTAAAGCGGTACTGAACTGCAGTGGAAACGCAAACGGAGCCGAGCCGTGCCGTGCCATACTGAGCCGTGCCGAGCCGAGACGTACCACGCAGTGGAAAAGCGCCATAATATATTCTTGTCATGGAGATGAAGACCCTCAGACCCTCAAAACGAGCCAAGTTAGAAGCGTCTCATATTTTATATGAATGCATCACATTGTAATATAGTATATTAATACTATATTATTGAAATATATGCAATGTTTGATTAAATGCAACACTAATTAAAAAAATATTGAATTTGATTATTTACAGTTTTTTTTAATCATAGTGCTGATTAGGTAGAGCTTTTTGAGCTTTGTGTTATCTACCAGCATGGTTAAAATGTGGTAAAACACTGTATCTTGCAGCCTCTCATGACTTATTCTTTAAATTTGGAATAGCCCATCTCTTTTTGACTGGTACTGTTCCCCTCGATGTCTGTTATCACAATGCTGTCATCACCAATGCTGCTGTTTGCTCACAGGAATTCACACTGAGCTTCCACCCAACTCGTTCAACAAGTTTTCCACAGTCCTTGTCTCTTTCACAGAGCGGACATGGGAACATCATTATCTAAACCCTTCTCTGAGTGAGGCCTATTTGATGGCAAGTTTCCATTGAGCCTCACAAACTTCCTCCCACTGTTGCAGTCTGGCGGACAGTGAAATAATGTTTAAGAACAGAATATCCCAGAAGGCTTAAAACCATTTCTATTATACCTAATGCTCTGGAAAATCAAGTCTGGCTTAAACCCGTGTACCACAGAGGTGGAAAAAAACAGCATTTTTTTCACTGATAGCTAACCTCTAACTTTGAAATTTGTGTCAAGCTTTGCGTTTTTGCTTAATCTGCCTTGGTCTCCTCCTAAAGCACCTTCTTCAGCCTCTTCTGAAGAACAATACTCCAGGAATGTTTGATCCCATCACTGCAGCTCATTCATTTCCTCCGCTCAGTCATTCTTCCCTATGGGTACACAGTGCATCGTTCAAACTCCATTACCCTGCCCGTATTCCCCAGTGCTGGAATTTGTTTGAATATTGTGCCAGTTTGTTGTGACAACAAAGCTGAATTCTCAGTGGCCATTACTCCTGCAGAAATTATTCTAATATGCTGATTTGGTTTTCAAGAAGCATTTCTTATTATCACCAGTTTTGAAAACAGTTGTGCTGCTATATATTTTATTATGGAAACTGTGACATTAAGTTCAAAAGAACAGCATTGTAACATTTTTAACATTTACTGTCACATTTGATCAATTTATTGCATACTTGCTGAATCAAAGTAGTAATTTCTTTAAATAAAATTAATGACCCCAAACTATTAATGTATAACACATCTGAATTGTTATTCTGTACTATTATGTATGTGTTTAACCAAATGTGAATTTCTCACAGACATTAATGCCAAAGGATAGGTTTTGGCATTAAACAAATGTATGTATGTATGTATGTATGCAGTGTCTTCTTGAATGTTTAACTTAAATATAATTTCTTTCTGAGGAATATTCCAGGTCATTTACAACGTCTAATCTGTGGACAACATTTGTGGCATGTTTTTGAATACCCCAAATATAACTTTGAATTTATAAGATTTGTCCCTTTTAATTGTCCCTCGGACAATTTCTTTTTTTATGTTGGACATAACTTAACATTACAAACACAATAACTTTTTTTTATGGCTGTTCTTTTGCAACAGTTGTATATTTTGTATGTTCTGGCACCCCTGCTTTCATAACAGTTAAACTACAGTTCTGTTTTTGGTCATTTTTCACAACTTTAGGAACATTGCTTTTTGTGCCACAGATGCTGTCCATAGATATTAAGTAGTAAATAACCCAGAATATTCCTTTAACCTCTGAAGGGGTTGAGTGATTGAGCAAATTCCTCTGATTAATTACTGCATATCCCTCTTAGAGAGATAATGCTGAATGAAAGCCCAGGACTAGATGGGTAATCTGAGGTCATTAACTTCTTAAAGACAGGAATGTGAGAAGAATATATATCAGCAGACATGCTTTCCTTCAGCAGCTGATACTTGATATATTATAACAGGCACTGAAATCACTTTTCTCTTGCCCAGGTTTTGTCTCATTGTCATGATAAAATGTGATTAATGCTTATTAGATTTGTGCCTTATAATCCTTTCTGCTATTTTGTTTATTCATATTTGTATGTGTAGATGTGTGCATTTTAAATTGGCACTGAAATCACTTTTCTCTTGCCCAGGTTTTGTCTTCCATTTCTCATTGTTTGTCATGATAAAATGTGATTAATGCTTATTAGATTTGTGCCTTATTTTCCTTTCTGCTATTTTGTTTATTCATATTTGTATGTGTAGATGTGTGCATTTTAAATTAAAAGCATTTTTTAATAGATTAACAATAAAAAAAATTCTCTACGTCCTTACAGATCACTGAAACAAGTATCCTGAGATATGACACGGTTCTGACAGCACTAGGGTCTGTAAACTGCAGAAGAATGCAGGACACTTGTTTAGACAGTCTGTCAATCATTTTGAGTGTTCAGATTTGCAGACATGTTTTTCAGATGACAACGCACACATCATATAGACTTCTCTGGTCAACGCATGTGTGCTATCAGGCAAAGAACTGCAACAAAGTTGATGAGAAAACAGTAGGATAATATGAAGACCTCAGGATCCGATATTGGATATTGGAGGGGCTGCTTTAGCCATTAGTGTGTGACATGCGGGATAATAGATTCCTGGAGAGGCAGAAGAGATGTGCCGTGAGCTGTCAAGTTGTGAATTAAGAGGCACCTTCGATGTAGCCCAAAGGCCGCTGCATTGACTTTCTACAGAATGAGTCAATGTTACCAGATGTAAGATTTGTGTGTGTGTTGTTGTAGAGGTGGAAAGGACAGTCTGCCGCCTGTCTGAATGGGTCTGGGTGGGACTGGCAAAAGCGCTGAGCTGGACTCTGTTTGTAAGCGTTTAGATGTGTGAGTGGTGTCCGTACCCCCATCAGAGAGATTAGACCAACAGTTTCATTTTAGCAGTAGCAGATTTAGTGAACAGAAGGTGCATGGAGCTAGTTTAGCTGGGGGAGGGGGGGGCTGTTAACCCTGGCATTAAACAGAAAATTAACAGCTTTGTTTATGTAAGTATTTGTGTGCATCTTTAATATTGTGTTTTTTTTTTACATTTGTGTGGTGTGTTTGGCATGTACAATTGACTCAAAAGTATTTGAACACTTGTGTGTACACTTGATAACCAAATGAAGAGGGGGAGGGCATGTACAGAGACACTTGTGTGTAAACCTTCTGCTGAAGTAAATTATATGATACTCCTGGAATACGTGAAATAAGTAGAAAAGAATTTCAATCATCTCTCCTCTGCAGGAACGGCTCGGTTTATTGATTTATCATTTGTTTGCTGTGTACTGAAGGTTGGAGTTCAGATCTTCAATGTTGATTTCCTGACATTGATGGGTTTTTATTCTATGGAAGCCTGTTTCTACCTCAGGGTTAAAAAAAGTAAAAGGTTACTGATGTTTTAACTCAAAATAGCGACTTAATGTCCATATAAATTAATTTCTTCCAGTTACAACTTTATTGTTTAGAACTGTGATTTTATACCTCAAAATTGTATGTCCCATATTTGTTTCCCACATTTTTTATGAAAGAAATTAATACTTTTATTCAGCAAGGATGCATTCAACTGATAAAACTGACAGTAAAGACATTTGTAATTTAAAAAAAAGATTTCAATTTTTAAATAACTGCTGTTCTTTAGAACTTTTTTATTAGTCAAAGAATCCAAAGAATCACATATATTAAAATATAAATGGTTATTTTAAAATGTTTTCAATTATTACATTATAATATTTCATTTACTGTTTTACTGTTTTCCAAATAAAAGCAGCCTTGGTAAGTAGGAGACTTCTTTTATAAGGATTATAAAAACTTGCCGACCCAACATTTTTTGAACTGTATTGTATATCTCAAAAATTCGACTTTCTGTCTCACAAAGTTTATTTTAAACTTTCTCTCAGTTATCAGCTTTTATACTCTAAGGCATAATGGGCTTCCATGTTCTGAAGCGTAGTCTGACTGCAGTACAACAATTATTAATTCATTATTTTTCAACAAAAGTCTCAAATGCTTGCACAGTACAGACCACTAGTGCAGATCATTTGACTGAAGTGCATGGTAGTATTTGTAACAATGATAATGTAGTTATCATTGGTTGGTAATCCTCTTAAAGGCCATTTCCTCAGCTTGATGACCAAAATAAACAGACCAGTTGAGCAGGACTCCTGAGCTTGCTATACTGGGGCCTTCTGGTCTGGTGCCTCACGTGCATGTGCAACCTCTATGTATGGTCAGAGCTGATGGTCCCCTCTGTCTCTGTCTCTCCGTCAGGCCTGCCACACGGGAATGCGCTCCTACATTTACAATAAGAATTCTCTGATTGGCTCGCAGGCCGAGCACTGTGGCATGAGGACCTATTTCTTCAGCGCTGACACACAAGAGGACATGAATGGCTGGATCTGGGCCATGAACCAGGCTGCGCTGATGCAGAGCCATGGCGTGAAGAGGTCAGTCACCTCCTGCTGCTGCAAATCTTTTCTCAGGGCTGGTGTCTAGAAACAAGATCAGTATCTCAGAGACCTGGGCACTATATTCCATTAAATACAACAGGATAACCCTTGCTTTATTTATTTATTTTTTCAAATAGTGATTTTATTTGTCAGACATAATACAAACGAGGAAAAGCAGACAGCAAATGCATAACAACATCCAAAATACATCAAAATAAAAAAATATAAAATAATAGACACCGATGGATTGAAAAAAAAAAAGTCCTTGATAAATCTTCCTGATTGTGTTGGATTCATAGAAATACACTGTTTTAATAAATAGGACCTCTGAAAAAACTTTTCTTTTATGCTGACATGGCCAAGACTGAATGGCTGGAGAAAAATAATATTACCCAATAATATCACTGTGTAATATTTTTCACTCCCTCATGGTCCAGTCAAATCCCTGTGGATTTTGTCCATACAGATCCCCCCCACAGATGTCCTTAAAAAAAGTTTCCCTTACATATTCTTTCTCGGAAAAATGTCACATTAAAAAAAGTCAAAAGTTCATTTTTCTTTAAGAACTGGCTTACAATTTTAGACATTTTGAGAAAATAACCCAGTATAGTGCTTTCTCCTCACACTTGAATTTCCTCTATTTAACACTCATTACTGTCACTTAAACTTTATTTTCCTAATTCTTTGATATGATGTTCTTTTGCCTTGGCCTGTATGTAATGTGATGTGATGATTGATATTTCCAGCTATGAGAATTTCATGCACAATAGAAGTGAAGTGGTCTAAATGGTTTCTGCACTACTGTTAAGTTTAATTGATCTAGTGAAGGCTGTCCAATGATGTCAGCCATCTATCAGGGTTCATTCTTGTCATTCTTGTCAAAGCCATTCTTGACTTGGAGCTCCATTCATTTGTATTCAACTCGGGAGGCTGGCATGCACATGCAAAAAAATAAAAATAAAATAAATAAAAACTGTTGTCGTTCACCGTGTACTCAAATTTAAGTTTGGTAAGCTCTGAGCTGCGAATTCCCAAAGCACAAAGATATTAATCTTATAACGGACCTAAAGAGCATCTAAACATCACAAATTTACCTCTTGGCTGAATTCAAAGCATACACAAACCTAAAAATCGCCTGGTTTGCAGTATTTTGGGGTCTAAAGTAATTTTCTAGGCTCAATGTGACTGCAGCTTTGCTCTTTGTGCTGACTTGGTTGTGTATTTGAAATTGCTACTTCTTAACTTTTAAAAAATTAATTATGGGGACAATTTGCTGTCCTCGAAAGTATTTGGATCCTTTTTAAGATAGGCATTAAATTCACTGGAAATGCTAATGGCATTAATAAACTGTAGCTGTATGCTGTGGACTAGTTATTTAAAGGAATAGTTCACCTAAAAATGAAAATTTACTTACCCTCAGGCCATCCACGATGTGGATGATTTTGTTTCTTCATCAGAAAGGATTTGGAGAAATTTATCATTACATCACTTGCTCAGCAATGGATCCTCTGCAGTGAATGGGTGCCATCAGAATGAGAGTCCAAACAGCTGAAAAAACATCACAATAGTCCACAAGTAATCCACATGACTCCAGTCCAGTAGATCTGTTTTGGACTGTTTTCGTTTCTAAATGGTTCTTTATTTTGTGGATTATTGTGATGTTTTTTATCAGCTCTTTGGACTCTCATTCTGATGGCACCCATTCACTGCAGAGAAAACATTGGTGAGAAAGTAATCAAAGGCTAAATTTCTCTAAATCTGTTCTGATGAAGAAACAAATTCATCTACATTCTGGATAGCCTGGGGGTGAGTAAGTTTTCAGCAAATTTAAATTTTTGGGTGAACTATTCCTTTAAGTTCATGTCTGATGTGATGTATAGATCATGGGCACAGCAAAAACAGCATGGTGTACTCACTCATATGCTGCTGTTGTGCTGGTGCAGAGGCACAGTGCCATAGTTGTGTACACTTTGACGCTGCAGCTCTGGGGAGGAGTATCACTGCGGCATGCTGCAGCCAACTGACTGTGGGCCACCAGCCCAGAACACAGCACTCGGACTGGGGCATGATGTTAGTGTGCTGCCCCCATGCTCTTCACTTCCATGAGTGCAGAGAGGGTTTGTCCCTTGGGCTTTCCTTATAGCTGGGTTTTTATAGTATACTTAAAAAAGGAGAGTAGGTGGTTTATAATGTCATCTATGGTTGTAGGGCTAGTGTAGTGGCTGTATTTGTTGGATTTTGTAGGCAAATGCTTTTACACAAGTATGTGGATTGTTGGCAGTGTTGCTATACTTGCCAGTCTGATGCCTGACCACCTGTCTGATCACGATGAGAGGTGAAATGTCAATGTTAGTGCTGCTGTACTGTTTTGAGGTTCCTCTGTCGGCCCTAGATTTGTATGAGGGAGATTTTGAAAGTAATATAACAGTGCCATCTAGGGATAGATTGACAGTATTGCACATGATGACTTTACCTTTATCAATTAGATTTTTAATGTGCTTTGATGCATTTCAAGCTTCCTTTTGAGTTTCATTTGTAAATGTATCATGAATGTGTTTTAAATAATAACTTTTAAAATCATTTCTAAATTAGTGAATGCTTTTGTCAGTTATGTGTTTGGGCTGATCTAGTAAGAAATCGAGTAGCTGAAATGATGACCTTAAATTAACTGATGAAATTAAATTAATTGATACATTATAGGTATGTATTAATTAAGTATACTAAATGGATTTGTTAATTATGCCATATCTGGTCAAATTAGACTAAAATATACTAAAATGATCAGGTTATGCCACCTATCACCTGTGTAGGAAGGAATAATTACTCCAACAAATAAAAAAATCCCTTTTTGAATATTTTGAAACCAAATCTGTCTTCATTTGGGCACAAAAAGAGTTTGGTTTCCACAAAAAAAAAATTAAGCAGTACCTGTTTTCACCATTGATGATAATAAGAATATTTCTTGAGCAAATCAGCATATTAGAATGATTTTTTAATGATCGTGTGACACTGAAGACTAGAGCACTGGGTGAAGGTGCAGAAAGGAGACCCCAAAAGGTCAGTTTTGTGTGTTTGTGCTGTGATAAGGGAAAAAAATGTTAGAAAAGCATACAGGGTTATATGTAATACTCTAATTAAATGATGTAACATTGGGAACTCGAGCCATTGTAGGATTCAGTTCACATATAGATTCTTCTTATGAAGGAGCTCCCACTAGTGGTTATGATGTAAACACACTAAATATTAAAGGGAATGTTTTGTGTTGTAGCAACAGCATTCTTGTTATTACAGTTTTTTTTTTCTTTCTTTCTTTTCTTTTTTTTGTTGTTGTAAAAAACCATCCAGTAATCACATTTACACTATTGCACTTAAAATAAAAGCCCATGGGACATATCTGCATTTTAGCAGAAAAACACCCAGCAAAACAATTTAGCAGTAAAACAATACCTTACCTTTAAGTTTTTTCACTTAAACTTATATCTGTAATATAAATTATAATTAATATTAATATTATTATTATTTGTATAATAGTTAATATATTAGCTATTATTGTTGTTGGTGATTATTAATAATAAAAATAATAATAAATTTGCAGCTCAGACCAGAGTAAAAACATTTTAAAAGAATCAAAAAATAAATGTTTTTACTTTATATAAATACTCTGTATAGCATATGAATGCTAACTGACAGTGGGAAGGACAGAATATTACAGTAAAATAACTTTTTTTTGCGAAATTACAGCCATCCCACTGCTGAGTACACCCTACCTAGACGGACACCACCTCTCCAGCCTAAGTCCGTCATGATGGAGACGTACCAGTCGTTGCCAAAGAGCACTCGCCACCACTCCGGAGGCAGTTCCCCACCAGTGCCCCGCAACCTGCCTAGTGACTACAAGTACGCCCACGACCGTCTTAGTCACTTTCGTATGTCCACTGATGAGCGGATGGCCACTAAAGAGGGCATGGTGTGGCAGCTGTACGAATGGCAGCAGCGCCAACAGTTCCGCCATGGAAGCCCCACTGCACCAATCTACACCGACACACTCATATATTATGTAAACAAAAACTTTTATTTTGGATGCGATTAATCACGATTAATCGTTTGACAGCACTAAATTTAAAATATATTAAAATAAAAAAAAGAAGTTATTTTAAATTGTAACCATGTTTTACATTGCTTTGGTGAGCATAAGATAACTATTTCAAAAACATAAAACATCTTACAGACCTTAATGTTTTGAACAGTAGCATATATAATACAGTATACACAGTAGTGCATGAGTCACATAAGCTTCTTTTATGATGTTTTTATTGTGTAGTAGAAAGCAGCTCAGATGTTATGCTAAATTCTTCTTTTGATGTTCCACAGAAGAAAGAATGCCATATATGTTTGAAATGTCATGCTGCTATTAGGGTAGATTTTGATAGCTAGACAGTCGGTTCAAGGTCAGTTATCTGTACATTGAGTTGTAGATTCAGTTACTGTATAATTCATGCAAAAGTCTAAACTCTCTTCTGTCCTGTTTGCTTCCTAATACTGATACATCATCGGAAATAAGTCTTAAGTTAAATCTCATGTTAAAGGTCAAATATTAACTGTTTGTTTTCTACTATTAAATAACTATCTTTCCTTCCACAGAGAAGCCGAAAGAAGCTTCAAATCTGAGCAGCAAGCAGTCCCTCAGACCAACCATTTCTGCAGCAGCATCCAAAGCTCCTCCCAGGCCGAGGCCCTCCAGCAGACAGCACATGTGGAGGTGGTAGATCTGAGGCCGGAGCGAGATGGGGAGGACTGCTACGTTTACAGCAAGGAATTGATGGAGGATCCTGTTAAAATCTCCTCTGGAGAGTTGGAGATGGAAGGGATTTCCCAATCAGGTGCCCATTCTCGCCCACCTTCCAGAGTGCCCACTCACAGGAACGGGCTGCCCCCCTCGGGCATACCTCCTGATCAGAACGGGAACGTGGTGTATAAGAGGGGTCTCGTCCCCCGTACAGACACAGAGAAAAAGGTGCAAAGGAAAACTGCGCTGGCTCAGGTCGAGCACTGGGTGACTCCGGAGGCAGTTCCCCACCAGTGCCCCGCAACCTGCCTAGTGACTACAAGTACGCCCACGACCGTCTTAGTCACTTTCGTAGTCCCACTGATGAGCGGATGGCCACTAAAGAGGGCATGGTGTGGCAGCTGTACGAATGGCAGCAGCGCCAACAGTTCCGCCATGGAAGCCCCACTGCACCAATCTACACCGGCCCTGACTACATGGACACGTCTGCCTTCAGAGTTACTCTGGAAATGCCACGATCCATATCTGTGCCACCATCACCATGTGACATACCCCCACCTGGCCACCCCTCCAAGTTCTTGTCCCCACGCAGGCCCCACACGCCCTCAGACAGGGTGACGGTGCGCCCGCTGGATGACTTCGCCACCGTGGACACTCCCAGTTTGGGTTCTCCCAGAGGAATATGTTCCCAGATCTCAAAGGTAGGGAACGTGGAGCAGTTCACATAATCTCACAATTTCAAATTAGTTGTGGTGAGTTCTTCTCTTTGTTCAGACCACAGAAGTGTTGACTACCAAAGGCATTAAGGGTTATGGGAAAACCGAGTTTCCATTTACTCAAGCTTTGATTTGGACTTTGTGACAGGATTCACACAGTCTTCACTCAGGGCTTGATTCCCAGGTGCAGTGGGTGTGTTAAAAGAGAGCATTTTTGTTTGTGTGTGTCGCTGAAGATGCTTGTGTGACGAATAGTAGCATCTGCCAGCTACACCCCCCACATGAGAGCGCCGCTCCCAGTGCCACATTCACATGCGGCAGCAGTCATAGAAGCCTCTGTGCCTCTTACAAGTTAACATACTGTCACTACCATTTCTGCTCTGCATACGTCAGGACTCGTGTGAACTCACTAATTACATGCCTCCAACAGAAAGATTCACAGAAGCTGTCAAAAACCAGATAGAAAGAAAAAACAGACCTTCAGTCAATGTGCAGTGATACCACAAAAAAATATACAGCAGAATCTAAAAATCTGCTAGTGAAAATGCTGTAATTATTGTTTCATTACATATTATATTATCAGCATAACAATTAATTGAGAATATAGTATTTTTAGGATGATTAGTGTGATGATTAGCATGAGTTGAGAATGCTTAAAGAGAAAGAATTACCGTATTGTCCCGAATATAAGACGATATTTTTTTCTTGGAAATACATCTGAAAAAACGCGGTCGTCTTATATTCAGGGTCTAGACTTTGACATGTCAATAATACACCCACAACACTAGGTGGCGCCAAATACGCATAAAACGAGTGTGCCATGAAATACGTAATGTAATGCGTGTTGTAAAGATCGCGAGAAAAACAAAAGAAAAAGAAAACCTTACAGCTGCATGAACCGTGACTGTCATGTTAGCCTGATGGCACCAAACTCCCTTTGTGATTTTAAAACGTAAGACAGTACCCAGATTTGAAGACTACAGTAAGATTGAACTTCTACTGTTAATAAGATTTTGGTAGGCTACTATTAGATGGATAGCCTAAATGTCCTAATTCAGATGGGCTACCTCTTTTTTTGTTTTTTTTTAATGGTATATCAAAAAGTGAATATTTTTTAAATGTGATTGTTGGTACATTTTACCAGTTTTTACCATACTTTCAAAACAAAAATTAAAATAGGAAAAATATGCAATATGAAAATAATTGAAGACAAAATGTGTTTTACTGAGAAAAAACAAGATTTGGTTTTTAAAAAGCCTTTTTCCAAAAGGTACATCTGGAAAAAGGGGGGTCGTCTTATAATCAGGGTCGTCTTATATTCGGGCCAATACGGTAGGTTATTTTGAATTTTTTTCCCCAGAGAATCTTGAAAAAAAAAGTATGGCAGTTTCCACAAAAATATTAAGCAGAACTGTTTTCAGCATTGATAATAGTGAGAAATACAGGTGCATCTCAATAAATTAGAATGTCGTGGAAAAGTTAATTTATTTCAGTAATTCAACTCAAATTGTGAAACTCGTGTATTAAATAAATTCAATGCACACAGACTGAAGTAGTTTAAGTCTTTGGTTCTTTTAATTGTGATGATTTTGGCTCACATTTAACAAAAACCCACCAATTCACTATCCCAACAAATTAGAATATGGTGACATGCCAATCAGCTAATCAAATCAAAACACCTGCAAAGGTTTCCTGAGCCCTCAAAATGGTCTCTCAGTTTGGTTCACTAGACTACACAATCATGGGGAAGACTATATATATATTAAATTATAAAAGAACATAAGAGACTTCTTTCATAAACATTAAAAATCTTACCCCAGACTTTTGAACAGTAGTGGGAGAATGGGAAAGTATCTATTTTAGTTGCTGTAACTTGTGACCGTTACAAGTTTTTCTGCATTTCAATCACTTTTTGCCTTCAAGTTTAAACTGTTCTAGAGTTTTTTTTATTTTTTATTATTATATTCAAACATTTAAAAAAAAAAGATATTGCAGTCTCTCAATTAATTGAAAGTCATAAGTACTGCATGTAAAAAAATTAGAAAAGAATAAGAAATGTTCATTTCTACATCAGAACTATATATACAGTATATACAGTGCCTTGCGAAAGTATTGAAACCCCTTCATTTTTTTCATGTTTTGTTATGTTGTAGCCTTATGTTAAACTGCTTTATATTACTTTTTTTCCACATCAATCTACACTCCATACACCATAATTGCAAAGCAAAACAGAACTGTCACAACTTTGCAAATTTATAAAAAATAAAAAAACTGAAATAAGTACATTGCATAGGTATTCAAACCCTTAACTCAGTACTTCGCTGAAGCACCTTTACAGCCTCAAGTATTTTTGGGTATGATGCGACAAGCTTTGCACATGAGCATTTGGCAATTATCTGCCATTCTTCACCTCACCTGTTCACTTCTTAAGCTCTGTCAGGTTGGATGGGGGCAGACACACATTTTCAAGTTTCTCCAGAAATATTTGATTGGGATCAAGCCCAGGCTCTGGCTGGGCCACTCAAGGACATTCACAGAGTTGTCT